TAACCAGATCTGGGCATCGATAAATTTTGATGCGAACCAAACGAACTACCATAGCCATCTCGGCCAGAACCATAGGATCCTCAGGTTGACTGCCCACTTTTAGCTGCCAGCATAGAAGCATGAACTGGCCCACGATGCTAGAAAGAACTACCGCCTCTATGCAGACCTCCGCCTCCAAATGAGGCACCAAAAAATTGACTAGAAGAATGGGCCCTCTTAGGCTCCCCAAACTCCTATAAAACCATCAACTCCACCTCTTTGCAGTGCTCACAATGGACTGGAAGGAAGCCCCATCTCTGGCTTCCCTGAACACATAAGATTTGACGGAGAAAGTCAACCCTCTCACAAACCTGCGAACTCTCTCTACCTCTTCTGGAACAATAGTCACAGCATGCCTAAAATGCTCACAGAAATGGGCCTCATACTTAGTCAAAAACACCTTAACTAAACTCTCAAATCTCAAATGACTCTCCTCTCTCACGCTCTAAGGAATGAAGTGGTCCTGGAAAGCACTAGAAAACATATCTCACTCTATCGGAGGAGATCCAACTTCTCTAGAAATCACAAAAGGCTTCCACCACTCTTTGGCGCGACCACAAAACTGAAGAGCAACAAACTGAACACCACGAGCATCCACCATACCCACTCCCTCAAGCATCTCATGAAAAAAAGTAAAAAAGTCATTAGCATCCTCGCTCTTATCACCTTAAAACTGAGTGGTTTCATCTTCTGAAACCTCTCGTAACATTGCTGATCAGCCGTTGTCCAAATGATCTCGGAAGCAATTTGTGCACCAACAATCGACGGAAGAACCACTAGTGGCTGGCCCACCTGAACATGAATACCAATAGTCTACTGTTGACCTGGGGTGTATGCATTTACCCTCGTCTAAGCACCATGTGGCGTACCCTGTGAAATGTTCTCTAACATACATATCAACATTCTCAATAAAGTGTCTTGAAATAAAGGAGCTCTAAACTCGAGAGGAGCCTGTTCCTCAGCAACCTCAACGTGTGGTTCAGGAGAAGCCTCTCTGGATCTACCTCTGGTTGGTGCCACTCCACGGGAACAACCTCTACCTTGTGCTACTGCACGAGCACGACTTCTAACCCAAGCTCTACCTCTACCCCTAGCTAGTGCCTCAACAGTAGGCTCAGAGAGTGACTCTCTTCTACCATTGGAAATATAAGCTCTGGTCCTCGGCATGTGCCGAAACAACACACAGCAACTCCAAACTAATGAAGGTAACCACACATTGTTATACTCAGAAACTAGTGAACTAAACTAGAGAGTTCTAAAGCCTTGTGTTAGGGTTTTAGGGTTTTATATGAGGGTTAAAATCGTAAAAATGATTTCCGCACTTAGAATCAGGGTTTTAAGGTTATGTTGTCAAGGTACGACCACCCAAGGGGTCTTTGAGGAGGACCCCAAAACAGCCCCAAAAGTTGTCAAAAAAAGGCAGCCTCCCACGAAGAGCATCTACGGCCAGTAGATGTACCCACGCCCCGTGGGTTGGGGTCATGGGTCAAGGCTTTACCTTCCCTGCATGTTAAACCCCTTAACCCCACCTACAAAGTGCAACACGATTCGTAGACCCACCCATGGTCCATGGGTGGGGCAGATTTTTAGTGAAATTATTTTAAGTTAGGGGATTAGGGGTTAAGTGAGGTTGGTTAGTTAGTTATTAAACCACATATATAAGCTTAATAGACCCCTAAACTAAGGGAATTAATTCATTATTCCAAGACCCCAAATTCTCTAAAGAAAATTATCTCTCTAAGAAGCAAAGAAGAAAAAGAAGAAGAGAAGGAAGTAGGGCAGAATTTCCTCCATTGTTTCAAGATTTTGCTAGGATTTGAATCAAGGTGTGTTAGATTATTCATCTATTAGTTCTTCCACCCATAGAGCCCCCTAGATTTCCCCATTGTGAAGACAAAACCCAATTCTAGCGAGGGTTTCTTCCTACATTGTGGGTAGTGTATAAGTATGATTCCAATTGAGTGGATAATACTTAATTATGGTTGATTGAGCATTAAATTATGATATTATGATGAATTTATGTGAATTCTATGGTTAACCCTAGTCTAATTGATGAATTTGATATTGTGTGGGTTTAAGCCATGAAAGGTGAAATTGAGGATTCATAGGTGATCTTCTAAAATCAATGTCACGTGTAGTAATTGTTCAAGTTTAGGAACTTATAAACATGAATTGAACTAGACCTTATTGAATATGAAGGATCATACTAGTAAAGTTGAAATTAAACCTTTATGATCAATTATGACTAGAATCACCTACTAATAAAGAATGTGATTAGAATACCTTGAAATCTAGGTATAATGATGATAATAAGGAGTAGTCATCAATGTTAGGGCTTTCAGAGTAAAGCTAATATGATGTGATCTTGTTGTGTATTGTTGAAAACATATTCTCATTTACACACTTGTAGGGCATAAATATGCTAGGAGATACAAGGCTCTCTCACATAGAATGATTCTAGGTTGAAAATCTAATCACCTAAAATGAATAAAAGCATTTTTAGACTAGAATAGCTTGAAGTTGTGATCTATGATCCCTTCATGTATAGCTTGACTTGGTAAGACAATACCAAGATTAGTAACTTAGGATTGAGGATTTATACTCTCCTAAGGGTAGCTTGACTTAGCTTTGTAAAATGCATTACTTGGTAGCTTGAGTTAGGGATAGTCATGATAGACTAGGATTGAGGATCTATATCTCCTAAGGGTAGCTTGAACTAGCATTTTTAGGATGTCTTCACGATAGCATGACTTGGTTTGGAAAAGACCATTTCATGGTATCTTAGGATTGAGGGCTTATACTCTTCTAAGGGTAGCTTAGGATTGAGGAATTATACTCTCATAAGGGTAGCTTACATTAACATCTTAGTGTGCTTGTAAGGGTAGCATAACTTAGTTGATCTAAGACTATTTCATGGTAGCTAGGATGGAACACTTGTACCCTTCCTAGAATAGCTTGGGACTTACATGATAGTGTGCCTTCCAAGGTAGTTAGTTTAGCATAATATAGTTATGTTAGCAAGATGATAACATGTTCTAGCCTATTAGGGTGCTATTCCTTGGTAGCGTTGAATTGAGAAATAGAATTCATTCATGCGTTGTGACTTGCCTTGTACTAAATAGAGAAGTACCTTAAATGACTAATGATAAATAGTAAAGAGGGACTAGTCCCCAACTAGTGAGTATGTATGATAGCCTAAAGTGGTACTTAGTGTAGATAATAGTATGTGATGTTATTCATACATTACACAAGTATGACTTGAAGCTACTTATGAAGTGTTCTCTTATATAGTGTAGACTTAGCTTGGGTTGTTGCTATAGTTGCCTTCCATGATATGATTGACTTAAGGTGATAGTTCCCTTGTCTATATGAAATAAGCTAAGAATGAGACCAAATGAATGGTAAGTATGCATATGGTGACTTTAAGGTTATGCTTAGCTTGGATGGTATTATGGGATGTCCTTTATGCATTGCACAAGTGTGCTTTGAGTTATTTAGAAGTATAGTGCTCTTAGTACATGAAGCCTAGGTCTTGCCTATGCATATAGACTATGATTAAGATGACCAAATAGGGGTGCTTAGCTTGGATGGTATTATGGGATGCTATTCATGCATTGCACAAATATGCCTTGAGGTTACTTGAGAGTAGTCCTATTATGGTACAAATGACTAGGAGTTGAATAATGCTTATATGATGCTTATGTTGGAAACCTTGCTTATAATTATGATAATGTCTCTTATGCTTATAATTGATGTTTCATGAAGTATTTCATATGATTTTGGATTATGTTTTATATTGACTAACCCTTATCTTATGCTCTTATGATTATGTTAGCTAACATATTTACTACATTTTGTACTAACACATACTTTGCCTACATTCTCATCAAATGTAGGGTTTGGAGATTGAGTTCTACTCTTGGAGATAAGTTTCTAGAAGTTGCAAGGAGTTGAAGACTTGGTGAGTCCTCATAGCTTCGAGGACAAAACCCACTATTTCCTTTGTGTCTTTTATTTCATGTTTGAGACTATTGTATGGGCTATGTCCCAAGAGTTTTATTCAAAGTTGTATTAGATGGTTTGAGATAAAAGTGTAGTAAAGACTTCCGCTTGCATTTTATGAAAAGACTTCGATTGTATGGATAAAAGTTTTTAAAATTTCGGTACATTTCAACTATCTTATGTTATGATATGCTAAGGGCTTGTATGAGACCCCTTCTGGGTCAAGTACGTCATGTTGCATCTAGGGTGTACCCCTCGGTCATGAAAAACTTGGTAATTACAGCACAAGGTTTAGAATAGTTCTAAGATTGTCTCAAACCACGTCTAGTAGAGTCTTATTCATAAATGTGAAGCGCACCACATTTATGAATATGAGGCTATTGGATATTTAGGAAATCTCTTTTCTTCATTCTCTAAGTCGTGTCGTAGAGTTTGGCTTTAGTAGGCCCTTCTTGTAATCTGTACCCGTTGATTTACAGGGTATGGCTAATACATGGGCAAATGCTAGGAGAGATGAGGAAGGTAATATGGAGTAAAAGGTTCCTCTTCAAGTTCCACACCAAGCTCCTCCTCAAGCTCCAATTGATCTTCCATATATGTCAAATGCGAAGATTAGGCCGACTCTCCAAATGTTGGCCCAAGTTTTGACTACTCAAGCCCAAACTGTGACGGCTCAAATCAATAGGGAGATGGTAGCTCCGACAAACCTAATAAGGAGGATGGCTGCTTCTAGGGTGAGAGAGTTTCTGAGGATGAACCCACCGGAGTTTAGTGGCTCCAAAATGGAAGAGGATGCTAATGGGTTTATAGAGGATGTTTATAAGGTGCTAGTTATCATGGGAGTGACTATGGTAGAAAAAGCGGAACTAGCCGCTTATTAATTGAAAGATGTTGCTCAAATATGGTATGAACAATGGAAAGATAGTAGGCCGGTCGAAGCGAGTCCCATAAATTGAGAGATGTTTATGAAGGCATTTCTAGATAGGTTCTTTCCTCGGGAGTTGAGGAAAGCTAAGGTGGAAGAATTCATCAACCTAAAGCAAGCTATTATGAGTGTTAAAGAGTATTCCTTGAAATTAACTCTATTGTCTAAGTATGCTCCATCTATTGTAGCAAGTCCGAGGGATATGATGAGTAGGTATTTGGCGGGTGTGTCCAAAGTGGTAGCAAATGAAAATCGTACGGCAATACTCCGTGATGATATGGATATCTTATGTCTTATGGTGTATGCTCAACAAATGGAAGAAGATAAACTTGAAGAGGAAAAATCTAGAGAGAAAAAGAGGTCTAGGGTGGATAATGATAAGTCCTTTCATGATGGGTCCGATGGACATGGTCGCTCTAGGAATCGACAAAAGTTTTCTGGATAAGGCTTTTCTAATGCTCCTAAGCATAAAGATGAGAGAGTGTCTACCCCTAGACCACTTGGGATAGGTAATGAGTCCCTATGCCCCCTTGTGCTAGGTGTGGTAAGAGGCATGAGGGTGGGTGTTTGGCCGATAGAGAGGGTTGCTTTAGTTGTGGTGAGAGTGGCCACAAGATGAAAGATTGTCCAAAGGCAAAGGCTACAAGAAGAGATGGTAAGCAAGTTGTGTCTATTGGTATAGATCCGGAGACTCAAAAGCAGAATAGGTTTTATGATCTTCAATCTAGAGAAGATCAAGAGTGATCTCCTCATGTTACTTCCGGTATGTGTTTTATGCTTTAGTAATTTCCAGATTTTTTTTGTATTTTGTGACTTGTTATGTTGGACTTTGAAGTTGTCTTTAGTATGAATAATATTTAGAAGAGTTTGTGTGTGGTTACTCCCAAGGGGGATATAGTGTGCCTATCTAGTAGGGTTATTGTATGATTATGTGTGCCATGAATTCCTTATATGCATGTTCATGGAAATACTTAGGTCTTGTTAGAAATGACTTATATGCATTGTTTTGCCGCATGTTGTAGTGTGTTTGAGTCAAATTGCATATACACTTCAAGAGATGAGTTAATGAGCATGCCTTAGTTTGCAGTTGAAAGATTCCTCCTTGAATAAATTCTTTTTTACAGTAAATTTCATTTAGGCTCCATGAGTGTGTGTTGAGCATGTTTTAGCTAGGAGATTCTAGTTCCTCCTTGAATATGAGTATATATAGAAATTCATGCATTTTGGGTTGGTAGATGTAGTTCCTACTCCCTTGTGTTGCATTGAATGGAATTGAAGCTTTCTTCCTTGGTTGTGTGCATTTAGATGTATTGCATGCATGATTCGCTGCTAGTTTAGAGTTGTGACATTAAGAAGTGTTTAGAATTGTCATTTGAGGACGAATGATCCCAAGGGGGAGATATTATTATACCTGGAAACTAGTAAACTAAACTAGAGAGTTCTAAAGCCTTGTGTTAGAGTTTTAGGGTTTGATATGAGGGTTAAAATCGTAAAAATGATTCATGTACTTAGAATCAAGGTTTTAGGGTTATGGCATCAAGGTACGACCTCCCAAGGACCACCCAAGGGATCCTTGAGGAGGACCCCAAAAAAGCCCCAAAAGCTGTCAAAAAAGGCAGCCTCCCACGAAAGGCATCTATGGCCAATAGATGGACCCACGCCCCGTGGGTTGGGGCCGTGGGTGAAGTCTTGACCTTCCCTGCATGTTAAGCCCCAGAACCCCACCTACGAAGTGCAGCACGATCCGTAGACCCACCCACGGTCCGTGGGTGGGGCAGATTTTTAGTGAAATTATTTTAAGTTAGGGAATTAGGGGTTAACTGGTAATTAGTTAGGGGTTAAGTGAGGTCGGTTGGTTAGTTATTAAACAACCTATATAATCCTAATAGACCCCTAACCTAAGGTAATTCATTCATTCTTCCAAGAGCCCAAATTCTCTTAAGAAAATTCTTTCTAAGAAGTGAATAAGAAGAAGAAGAAGAGACGGAAGTAGGGCAAAATTTCCTCCATTGTTTCAAGATTTTGCTAGGTTTTGAATCAAGGTATGTTAGCTTATTCATCTATGGGTTCTTCCATCCCTAGAGCCCCCTAGATTTCCCCCAATTGTGAAGACAAAACTCAATTCTAGCTAGGGTTTCTTCCTACATTATGGGTAGTGTTTAAGTATGATTCCAATTGAGTGGATAATACTTAACTATGATTGATTTAGAATTGAATTATGATATTATGATGAATTTATGAGAATTCTATGGCTAACCCTAGTCTAATTGATGAATTTGATAGTGTGTGGGTTTAAGCCATGAAAGGTGAAATTGAGGATTCATAGGTGATCTTCTAAAATCAATGTCATGTGTAGTAATTGTTCAAGGTTAGGAACATATAAACATGAATTGAACTAGACCTTGTTGAATATGAAGGATCATAACTAGTAAAGTTGAAATTGAACATTTATGATCAATTATGACTAGAATCACCTACTAATAAAGAATGTGATTAGAATACCTTGAAATCTAGTAATAATAATGATAGTAAGGAGTAAATCTTGACAATAAGGCTTGTAATCATCAATGTTAGGGCTTTGAGAGTAAAGATAATATGATGTGACCTTGTTGTGTATTGTTGAAAGCATATTCTCATTTACAAACTTATAGGGCATAAATATGCTAGGAGATACAAGGTTCTCTCACATAGAATAATTCTAGGTTGGAAAGCTAATCACCTAAAATGAATCAAAGCATTTTTAAACAAGAATAGCTTGAAGTTGTGATCTATGATCCCTTCATGTATAGCTTGACTTGGTAATACAAGACAAAGATTGGTAGCTTAGGATTGAGGATTTATACTCTCCTAAGGGTATCTTGACTTAGAATTGTAAGATGCATTTCATGGTAGCTTGAGTTAGGGATAGTCATGGTAGCCTAGGATTGAGGATCTATACTCTCCTAAGGGTGGCTTGAACTAGCATTTTTAGGATGCCTTCATGATAGCATGACTTGGTTTGCCCATGACCATTTCATGGTAGCTTAGGATTGAGGACTTATAATCTTCTATGGGTAGCTTAGGATTGAGGAATTATACTCTACTAAGGGTAGCTTACATTAACATTTTAGTGTGCTTGTAAGGGTAGCATGACTTAGTTGGTCTAAGACTATTTCATGGTAGCTAGGATTGAACACTTGTACCCTTCATAGAATAGCTTGGGACTTGCATTATAGTGTGCCTTCCAAGGTAGTTAGTTTAGCATAATATAGTTATGTTAGCAAGATGATAGCATGGTCTAGCCTATTAGGGTGCTATTCCTTGGTAGCGTTGAATTGAGAAATAGAATTCATTCATGCGTTGTGACTTGCCTTGTACTAAATAAAGAAGTACCTTAAATGACTAATGGCAAATAGTAAAGAGGGACTAGTCCCCAACTAATGAGTATGTATGATAGCCTAAAGTGGTACTTAGTGTGAATAGTAGTATGGGATGTTATTAATACATTGCACAAGTATGACTTGAAGCTACTTATGAAGTGTTCTCTTATACAATGTAGACTTAGATTTGGTTGTTGCTATAGTTGCCTTCCATGATATGATTGACTTAAGGTGACAGTTCCCTTGTCTATATGAAGTAAGCTAAGAATGAGACCAAATGAATGGTAAGTATGCATATGGTGACTTCAAGGTTATGCTTGTCCTTCATTCATTGCACAAGTGTGCTTTGAGGTTACTTAGAAGTATAGTACTCTTAGTACATGAAGCCTAGGTCTTGACTAGGCATATAACTATTATTAAGATGATCAAAGAGGGGTTCTTAGCTTGGATGGTATTATGGGGTGTTATTCATGCATTGCACAAGTTTGCCTTGAGGTTACTTGAGAGTAGTCCTATTATGGTACAAAAGACTAGGAGTTGAATAATGCTAATATGATGCTTATGTTGGAGACTTTGCTTATTATTATGATATTGTCTCTTATGCTTATTATTGATGTTTCACGAAGTATTTCATATGATTTTGGATTAGGTCTTATATTGACTAACCCTTATATTATGCTCTTATGATTATGCTAGCTAACATATTTAGTACATTTTGTACTAATGCATACTTTGCCTACATTCTCATCAAATGTTGGGTTCGGAGATTGAGTTTTACTCTTGGAGATAAGTTTCTGGAAGTTGCAAGGAGTTGAAGATTTGGTGAGTCCTCATAGCTTCGAGGACAAAACCCATTATTTCCTTTGTGTCTTTTATTTCATGTTTGAGACTATTGTATGGGCTATGTCCCAAGAGTTTTATTCAAAGTTGTATTAGATGGTTTGAGACAATGTGTAGTAAAGACTTCCACTTGCATTTTATGAAAAGACTTCTATTGTATGGATAAAAGTTTTTAAAAATTTCGGTACTTTTCTATTATCTTATGTTATGATATGCTAATGGATTGTATGAGACCCCTTCGGGGTCAAGTACAACATGTTACATCTAGGGTGTACCTCTGGGTCGTGATAAACTTGGTAATCAGAGCACAATGTTTAGAATGGTTCTAGGATTGTCTCAAGCCACGTCTAATAGAGTCTTGTTCATAAATGCTAAGCGTGCCACATTTATGAATAGGAGGCTATTGGATGTTTAGGAAATCTCACTTCTTCATTCTCTAAGTTGTGCCATAGAGTTTGGCTTTAGTAGGCCCTTCTTCTAATCCGTGACCGTTGATTTTCAAGGTATGGCTAATACAAGGGCAAATGCTAAGAGAGATGAGGAAGGCAAAGTGGAGCAAAAGGTTCCTTTACAAGTTCCACACCAAGCTCCTCCTCAAGCTTCAATTGATCCTCCGGATATGTCAAATGCGGGGATTAGGCTGACTCTCCAAATGTTGGCCCAAGCTTTGACTACTCAAGCCCAAACTGTGACGGCTCAAATCAATAGGGAGATGGTAGCTCCGGCAAACCCAATAAGGGGGATGACTGTTTTTAGGGTGAGAGTTTTTGAGGATGAATCCATCGGAGTTTAGTGGCTCCAAAATGGAAAAGGATCTTAATGGGTTTATAAAGGAGGTTTATAAGGTGCTAGCTATCATGGGAGTGACTACGGTAGAAAAAGCAGAACTAGCCGCTTACCAATTGAAGGATGTTACTCAAATATGGTATGAACAATGGAAAGATTATTAGTTGGACGTCGGCAGCCGAAACCATTTTCCATCAGCTTTATATCACATTACTAGTCAGAACCATTTTCCATCGGCTTTATATCACATCACTAGCCAGAACCACTTTCCATTGGGTTTTTATCTTATCACTAGTAAGAACCATTTCTCATCAGTTTTATATCACATCACTAGCCGGAACCATTTTCCATCGACTTTATATCACATAACTAATCGGAACCATTTCCCATCGACTTTATAACATCATCACATGTCTCATCACGGTATTCGCAGTCAATGCACACAAGTAATATCACACCACAAGGAAGAGACAACAATTTTTACAATTCTAGTCCACAATCACGCTTTCAAATATTTCATCAATTAATCAACAAGGGCACAATAAGAAAATTCACATCATCTTGTTCATCACATAGCTTCTTCTTTTTTATTTCAACCCCTTTTTATTCATTTAGATATAGCAAGTGGACAATTTAATTTAAGTCATTCGCCTCATCCTTATTACTCTCAATACACAATCAACGAAGGAAGCATACAAATTCAACAAGAATACAGGTTTAGGAAGTCACTTGCCTTAAGTCAATCAACAATCACTCCAA